TGAGTACACCCCTAAGTGAAAATGTCCAAATTGGGCCCAAAGTGTCAATATTTTGTGGGCCCACCATTATTTTCCAGCACTGCCTTGACCCTCTTGGGCATGGAGTTCACCAGAGCTTCACAGGTTGGCACTGGAGTCCTCTTCCACTCCTTTATGACGACATCACAGAGCTCCACCTTCCGTTTGAGGGTGCCCATGCTTGGCCAATCAATCACCTTTACCCTCTATATATTATAACATGCTTTCTCCATATGTTTTGTATGCATCCGAATTAACAAATTGGACCAAGGTTAATATTACCACATACATGAAGGAATCATAGTGTCATTTTATATGAACTACCACTAACCAATCCAATATTTGAACTGTGATATATTTTTATATTGCATTTACATTTTATTTATGCTAAATTGCTCAGTTAACATGTTCTGTGTTTGGCATTTGCACTAATCAAGGTGAACTAAAACAGAAGTGAGTAGGTGCTTCCTTTAAAGCAATGTTTTTACTCCTTTATCGATATGTGCATTAATTTTGTTCATTTTATCATGTGTGACATTTTAGGGTAACTGACACTTTTTTTTTTTTTTCCTGGAAGTTTGTTGTACTTGCGGCGTTAATAGTCAGACTATAACTACTGTGATTGAATACTGAGTACTTCCTTTCGTTTACTATTTGTAATGCATTTATCCTTACACTAGGAAATGATCTTCATTGCGTTTCTGTGTGCTGTCTCTCTGTCATTTGCGATTTTAAAGAAAAGCCTCGTTTTTGTGCATTCTGTCATGTATAACCTTGCATACTTGCACATTTTAAAGCAGCGACTGGCAATATCTCAGTCTGTGAAGTATAGCTATGAGATGTATAAAAAATTATGATCTAAGAAAATATATAATATACTGATGTTTTTAACAACAAATATGCATCAAGTATAACTTGAAAACCTCTTGCATTTCTCATTTGCCTTGTTGTATTTTTGTTTGGTTTATTGATAACATATTTACAGTTCATTTTCTTCAAAAACTTGGTGATAACTTATAGACCAATATAAGCTTTTATTCACTTTGTACCTATAACCTGCTGCTGTGGCACTGATTTGAACCCTTTTACTGAAATGATATAAACTTAAAATAAAAAAGCACGGATTGGTATTAGTTCTGGTGTTTTCTATATGTGAAATAACCCTTTTTATATATAAAATGTGATTTTACTGATATTTTAGTAAATAAAAGTACTAATGTAACCTAATATAAAAGCAATCAGCATAGACACTGTGTCTACACTTATTTTTTTATTATTATTTAACTTTATTTAGTATTATTATTATTTCATATACTATTATTTTTAAAACTCTTTATACTGTACAATTGGAAGAGTCTTGGAGAATTATTTGTCAAAATGTGAGAAGATTTTTTAAAATTATTTTATATCAATTAAAGATAAACACCCAACACTTATACTTCTTTACAAATAAGTACATTGATTTTTTTTATTTCATGCATTTATTTAATATTTTACACACAAATATGGCAGTAGAAATTTCAGGTCACACTGATGCATGAAAATTAGCAGTAATTAGTTGTTTTCCATGATTCTGATTGTAGTTGAGTGTCTCATTAGGTGTAAGCAGCTGAAGTGTCACTTCTACAGCTCTTCTCACAGTTAAAGTGTGTATCTCCTGCCCGCCTGTCAGACGGCCGCCCTTCTCCACGTTCTGTCATGGGACAGGTAAATAATTCAAAACGTCAGGCCGTATCAGATGTGGACTCCTCGCTCTCTCTCTCTTTTACTCACCCTTTCTCGCCCTATAATAGGCATTAACAGAGACCTGAAAAAAACCATTACAGACATAAAGAGAGTGTGTCGTAACTACAGTGTGAAAACGTTCACTATCACAGGTACGTAAAGCAATATCTTCAGTGTTTTTCTGTAAATGTTTTGATAATGCTCTCTGATAATGCTGCTCATGAAGTTGATTTTACATGTTCGTTGTAGTTGTGTGTAGCGTTAAGTGTGTATTTTCCAACAGAAACAGAATGTCTGGTGCGAACAGTGACCTTCTACATAGATCAACCTTGAGTGTTTATAATGTGAGTCTTCTGATACTCTCATTTAAGCTGAGATCAAACGAGAACGCTCATTAAGTATTGATGCAATTACATGGCTCTCTGGAATACTTGATTCTGATTGGTCAATCGTGACATTCTACAGGCAAATGTTTTTACATAAAAAAGCACTAAACTCTATAATAGTTTGTTGTCCCAGGCAACTGATTTTTTTAAAGTTATCTGAATTAGTTGTGTCTTTCTTTCACTCTGCAGTCTCTCTGCATGCAGTAAAATTGATTTGAGCAAAAGAAAAAAGAAAAACAAAAAACGCACTCAAATTTTAATTGTCCATGTCCGGTAATTAGTTTATTTGGCAAATCGTTGTGTAAGGAACATGTACAGACAGCCAATGGTTATTTCAAAATAAACCCCTTTATTTGTTATCTTGAAGCATATATTTATGATGCTCCGGCATTATTATTGATAGTATAATGGTGTTGTTTTGTGTTATTCAGAACCTCATGGATCAGTTTAATCCTGGCTTGCAAAAGCTGGTTACTTTAGGAAACAGCTACATCAAGGCTTTTGAAGGTGAGCATAATGTCTGTGTGTGTTTTCAAACACAAAGACTCCTAAAAGTGTATTGACCTTTTTTAATTGTTTGTATTGAAGTTTGTTTTCTTTCCGTTTTGTTCTTTGTTTTGTTAAACTTTTTGTTTTGCTAAAACTTTTGTTTTGTTTTGTTTGACAAAGGTAATAAAATACCAACCATTCTGAAAAAATAAAAGCTTTGCTTAAATCAACCTATGGTAGTTATCTGGTCTCCTAGCCTGATTTGTTTGCTTAGGCTGGTCTGTTTTGAAGGCTTTAGAGGGGACTTGTCAGCTGGTCAAGCTAAAGACAAGCTAAACACCAGCTTGGAAAACCAGCAAACCACCAAAGTCTGGTTTTAGCTGTTATTATCATTAGGAAATGCTGACAAAATGTCTAAATGTATGATATTTTGTGTATGTGTGTGCATCAAAGCTTTGGCTCTGACAAGCGAGGCCTACTTCAGCGCTCTTGCTAAGATGGGCGAGCAAGCTCTCAACACGTTATCATCCAGATCACTTGGTAAGACTCAAAATGTGTGTGTTTTTGCATCTCAAAACCAATGCCAGTTGGGCAGATTGTGCAGCAAGATGTCCACTGAGTTTTTATCTATACTTTCTGGCTGTATCAGAGCTTGTTTGTACTTCATACAATAGATGTTTCAGCAAACGGTGTCCAGTGGCAGATGCTTCCTCTCCTCTGTCATAAAACACAAGATTTGGCTCAGCGAAACCCTCGGCTCATTGTTATGACAAAATGACTGCAAAGTCATTGATTTTCAGTGACAGTTGACAATTTGAAGCAACATAGGCAAAAACTACCTTTGGCAATATGACAAAGCCGACTTCAACTTTTTGCGCAATGTGGCAACTGCCACTGTGAGTGAAGACAGTGAAGCTCACTATGTTTTGGAACAGAGCCTGTGTCTCAGTGCATGTGTTTGTGTGGATGCAGGAGGGCAGTGAGTACATGCAGTACCTGAGGCAGAGCCAGCATGAAATTCTCAAAGAGGAAGAAAGGAGATATCGTTTCCTGGCTGAAAAACATTGTGGACTTACACAGTCACTACTATACCTTATCAACAAGGTACAGCTGCTTTCCACTGGAGTTCATTAGCCAGTGTGCACTCAGTCATATAGATCCCCTCTCCAGTTCCATCCAAACCTTATCGGCTCACTGCACAACCATCTTTCCTCAGAGCTTGTTTGTACTTCAGACAATAGATGTTTCAGCAAACGGTGTCCAGTGGCAGATGCTTCCTCTCCTCTGTCATAAAACACAAGATTTGGCTCAGCGAAACCCTCGGCTCACTGCCCATGTAATGAGTTTTCGTTCCAGTCATATGCGCAGAGCGCCGTGGCAGTGATGAACGTCAGAACAAAGGTTTTAGAGGCTTAAAGATGGAATGAATTAAACAAGGGTCTTTATCTTTCAAAATTACTACAGGTATATAAACCGGCAGGTGTGTGTGTGTTTTAGAGATCAGGTGTCCATGTGAGCGTTGAGACTTAAATTATTGATGCATGGTCTCATTCTTTCACCCCTTTAAATTATATGCATCTTTATCAAGAGGCGGATCACATTATCTTTACTGCCTACTTTTCCATTGGATGTAGTCACATTTCGCCACTGTTCTTTTGCACTTTATTAGTAGTCGCCAGAAATCAGTAGTCTTAAACTTTTCACTGAAAATGTTACTTTTCACTGGAAATTTCAGGTGTAAACATAACTATATTTTCTGTATGTTGTGTACAAAATTGTCTTAAGGGTTGCTCACACCTACAGCTTGTTATGACAAAATGACTGCAAAGTCATTGATTTTCAGTGACAGTTGACAATTTGAAGCAACATAGGCAAAAACTACCTTTGGCAATATGACAAAGCCGACTTCAACTTTTTGCGCAATGTGGCAACTGCCACTGTGAGTGAAGACAGTGAAGCTCACTATGTTTTGGAACAGAGCCTGTGTCTCAGTGCATGTGTTTGTGTGGATGCAGGAGGGCAGTGAGTACATGCAGTACCTGAGGCAGAGCCAGCATGAAATTCTCAAAGAGGAAGAAAGGAGATATCGTTTCCTGGCTGAAAAACATTGTGGACTTACACAATCACTACTATACCTTATCAACAAGGTACAGCTGCTTTCCACTGGAGTTCATTAGCCAGTGTGCACTCAGTCATATAGATCCCCTCTCCAGTTCCATCCAAACCTTATCGGCTCACTGCACAACCATCTTTCCGTGTGTTGACAGACGGGAGTATCTCTCCAGCAGAGAGCAGATGGTTGGAAAGAAAAAGTCAGTGAGAGCAGAAGTTCCAGACCTCGAACACCCACTCCATCAGATCAAGAAGCTCAGGTGACACTGGAATGATGGGAATGAAGAGTAACTGCTCATCTATCCATATTCCCCCATTTTTCTGTGCACTTTTAGGCTAACTGCTGAGCCCAAACATTTCCACAATCACATAATGGAACAGATGGGTAGCTTTGTGTGGCGTACAGAATCCAAAATTAACTTTTTATCACATCTGTCAATTGAGGGTGAATTTACAAGCCATGAAATTGTGTTTTGCATCATTTAAAGTCGTGAAACTTGTTTTTGCTGGAGGTGGAGCGCTTTTTTTACATATAACTAGGAGACAAACATTTAGTTTATTTGGAATAATGGTCTTTGATATATTGCTCACAACAAGACTTGCATTAAGAAAGTAAATTAAAAAAAAAACAATAAAAAAGTTTGGTTTGTGGCTAAACTACAAGTGTATGTTTTTATATACTATATATATATATATATATATATATATTATTATTATTA